CCTCTTACTTTGTTCACAAATAGTTGTTAAAACAATGGGAGATAACTCCAATTATGCAGGAAAGTAAATATTTTAATTCCAAATAAGAGTATATTGCCAAAAATGGAATAACCAGTTCCTGGTCTATGAAACAGCAATGAAAAGAACCAATATTCTGTACATTGCATATGCTAAGTGTATATTTTAAAAATAAAGGAAACAGAGTAACTGATCATGCATTTTCAATTATAGTATGTAAAAATATTTCATGTAACTCATTAAAAAGTTGAAAATATTTATAGATTATAAGAAGTTGCATATTGTATGTTAATTCCATTGATTTTACATGTACCAGAAACCAGCTTTAAAAAAAAACCTCTACTGTGGACTGTTATATATCAAATATCACCACAAACCAAAGGTGGAATATATTTGAAAAAATAATGATGGATTGGACAAAAGCTATAGCAGTTTTTAATTAAGAATACCTATCATAAAAATATGGAGAATTGGTAAGATTGCCAATGAGACAACTCTCCACCAAAGTTCAAAAGAAGTAGATGTAAGCAATTATAGGCAATGCAACCATATATATAGCCTTCAACAATGAGATAAACCCATACCTTATAGTCCGCTATAAAAGGTCCCACTTGAAAAATGTAAAAAAATAAATTGAGAAAACTAACTGCCTTATATATTTATAAAAAAAAAAAAAAAACAAATATGAGAGACATCAACCAACGACATCAGGCTCAGGACATGGGACAGGCATAAAATGGTGTAATTATCAAATACAACATAACAACAATCTGCAAAAATCAGATGAAATATCTTCACTCATCAGATCAATACAAAAAAAAAAACAAGTAACAAAAAACAAACTGGACCTGGCAAAGGAATTTATACATCCCTCACAACAAAAAAGACACAAAGTACAGACTTGATAGTCATTATATTATGTCAATGTTTAGTTCCCATTTTCCAAACCAAATTTAATTTTTCTGGTATTGATCCAATTTTGATAATGGTCGACATCAAGGTTTTGAACAACAGATGATGAAATTTCTCCAAAAGATGAATGTTTCCTACCGGGTTGACAATGAAAAGGTCTTATATCTCGTAAATCTGACAGAATTGCCAGTTCATCTGCCTTAGACGATTTGTCGGAATGTTTTTTGGAACGTATAATTACCCCTGACTGTTTGTCAAAATTTTCTGAAATTTCGTGAATTCCAGATATTGCCCTGGTACGGTTTGAAATGTTCTCTTAAGTTTTGTTGGAGTACATATGTTTAACATGTTCTTTTACTTCTTTGACAAGGTATTCCATCCTTCGGTCAGCAGGAATATGCGTGTCAAATTTGCCTCCTGTATTTACAAACATGGAGTAGAATTCCTCATTGGAGCCTTTCTCAGACAAAGTACATAGTTGATGTACCAGAAGTCTGAGTATTTCTAAGGCGTACTTAGATAGATTGTTATGGACTTTGAAATACATCACAGCAAGTTTTAACAAGCGTATCCCTCTTACTCTTTCTGGCATATGTATCATATCTATCAAGTCTTTAAACAGCAATCCTAGCTGGAGTATTTGATTTCCATAATTACTCATTTTATCACCTTTCTTTGACTTTGATATTGTTTTCTTCATGAGTGTGATGGTTTTCCCATTTTCCAAAACTATTCGGAAACACTGACCATCAACTGTAAAGAAATAGTTTTCAAAATTAGATACATATTTTAAATCAATATCACAATCATATTTGAAAAAAAATACTATCCAATCATTTTGCATTTAAGATTTGAATGCATGTCTTGTTTGTTGTTTAATATAAAACAGAAGATGTGGTATGAATGCCAATGAGACAACTCTCCACAAGAGACCAAATGACACAGAAATTAACAATTATAGGTCACCGTACGGCCTTCAACAATGAGCAAAGCCCATACCACACAGTCAGCTATAAAAGGCCCTGAAATGACAATGTAAAACAATTCAAACAAGAAAACTAACGGCCTAATTTATGTACAAAAAATGAACGAAAAACAAATATGTAATACATAAACAAACGACAACCACTGAATTACAGGCTCCTGACTTGGGACAGGCACATACATAAAGAATGTGGCGGGGTTAAACATGTTAGCGGGATTCCAACCTAACCTGGGACAGTGGTGTAACAGTACAACATAAGAACGAACTATAAAAATCAGTTGAAAGAGGCTTAACTCATCAGATGGATAAGAATACAAATACAACAAATACAAGTGGACGTGGCAGGGTACTTGTACATCCAAACAACAAAAAGACACTAAGTACAGATCTGAGAGTACTCACAGTTACTGACAGCTAGTTCAAAGCCACTAACAACTAATAAAAAAAATCATGCATCTAAGACTAAATTATCAATCCGTACACATCCAACATCCAATGGATTTAGTGTAAAGACGTCATAAACAGTCAGAGAAAAACATGACCTTGTGCAATGCCAAGATACAGGTATCGACAGATTGTAGATTCATGAATGTGTATATGTATATAATTTAATTTTGGATATAACGCGTCTTCTGATTGGCTGACGTTGTTTTGTTTATCAGCTCATAGACATAATTTTGTCATGTGACCGTGACGTCATCAACGTTTTTTCATGATTTACTCCGGTTTAAAATGGATTTTAGAATTAAATTATAAGGAATGACTGTAATATTTTTTCTGTCTATTCGAAATAACATAAAAAATGGTGTGCACACTTTAAAATAACCCGCTACGCGGGTTATTCAGTGTGCACCACATTTTTTATGTTATTTCTTCATAGACAGAAAAAATATTACAGTCATTTCTTAAATAACAATAATATTTAGTTTGCTTTTAATTTACTGATAACAAAATCAATATTAGTACCAATAAAAACAATATTTAATGATCTAATTACAGTGTTGAATTGGTAACCTTTTAGAATAAGTTTACCAGGATCGTTTCTAAATTTCCGGGCACGGTAAACAATATTGCCGTAAAAATGAGGATGTGCAATCCCGTTTGAAATAAGTTTTCTACAGGTACAACCAAACTTCAAAACCAAATCTTTATATCTGTGGAAGAATAAAGTAAAGGTTTTAAGTAATTTGTGGTAACGAAATCCCTGGCTTAATAATTAACCAGTAATACATAGATTACATTTGTTAAAATCAAAAACGTCACAACAGACATGGGCATAGCGAACGATTTATGAAATATAAACACCGTAAGATGGTGCCAAAGGAACATCACCATCCAAAAAGGGAAACTTAACAATAGGGAAAAATCGTCCCTTTTGTCGTAAATTTTAGTGTGGAGTTTTCCGTGTAAAACCGAAATATCTAAATCTAGGAAAGGACAGTTGTTACCATTTAAATTTGATTTATTTAAAGTAAGTTCCTTTGGGTAAATTTCGGCAGTATATTGAGAAAATTCTTGATTATTTAACGAAAAAATATCATCAAGATAACGGTAAGTGTTGTTGAATTTATCAATTAAATGCAATTTAGACGGGTCTTTACTGAGTTTGGTCATAAACTGTGATTCATAACAGTACAAAAACAAGTCTGCTATTAAAGGGGCGCAATTTGTGCCCATAGGAATACCTACAACCTGTCGATAAACTTAGCTGCCGAAACGTGCATAAATATTATCAAAGAGAAAATTAACAGCTTCAATCATCTCATCACACCTCCAGTAAGTATGTCTAGCATATTTACCTTTCTAGAGAAGAAGGCTTTAAATGAGTTGCATCAAATATATTTGAATTCAGATTTACCAAACGACCATTTATTTAAATAGTCAAATTTTTTTTTTATAAGATTGTGTGGAAGTGTAGTGTAAAGAGTAGAAAAGTCAAAACCGTCAACAGAATCAAAAGGACCATCAATAGAACGTAATTTATCTAAAACATCCAAAGAATTTTTTACACTCCAAAAATAGTTAATTCCACTACTTTCATATATTTTATTACAATAGTTTATGATAAGCTCTTTGATAGTAGTTAAGGAACTTGTTAAAAGCACTGAAAGATTAGTTGTAAAACACTTACTAGAGGGCGAGATGGAATGATATTTTACTGTTTTTTTGTGTAATTTAGGTAACCAATACATAGTAGGGACCTTCAAATGTTCAGAAGAAGCATTAAGCTTATGATATACTGTAAAAGTGTACATTAAATAATATGTGCAGCAAATGGTATAAATAAAACCATAAGGAGTTAACTCTCCAAGCTTCTGAAAGACCAAAATTAGTGTTTGTCAAACTGCTAATACATGTATATCCCAGACATGGGGTCAATTACTTTTGAAAGTAATTAATTACATTCAATTACAATTACAAAATCTTCAATTAAATTACACATTACATTTGACTTTTTTTACCAATGTAATTAATTACTTTCCAATTACTTGTCAAATGTAATTAATTACTTCAATTACTTTTGAAAGGAAAATTTAAAATATTGAAAACATGCATTTATTCAGACTTCTATGATATGTACATAAGTATCATACATTGCTTAATAGTAATAACAAATGAGATCTTCAGCAACTATTTTCTAATTCAGCCAGTATCAAAGAATAGTAAAAGTTAGATATCTGGTGTGTTACGGCAAAAAAAGAAAAAAAAACCATACATAAATCTGAAGTGCACATAATACTTTGTCCATCCGGAATCGTAAGGGATAGAGATCAGGTTTAATCTAATGCTCAAAATGATAAAAAGCCTTATTTAATATTTTGAAAATATTAAATTTTGTTATAATTACCAGTATTGAAATTTATATTTTAATGTATTTCATTGAAAATGATACAAAAAGAGGGCCCTAATTTTAATATTATGAAATGATTTTTTATATTGTTCAAAACTTGATTAAGAAAGCCTGACTTTTTTTTAAAATATACTTTACTTTTAATCACAATTGATTTAAACAACTTCATGTACCTAGCTATAGGGGTATATTTATCTATCTCCAATTGTCTTAACACCTGTTTAACATGCAAACTTAACTGTTGTGAAAACAGTCATTATATAATTTATAATAAAACAAATAGCCAGAAGTTATATTTGTTGATGGACTATGTCCTTTAAAATTGCATGATCATGTTAAATCAATGTCTAGCAATAAAGTATTCATTCAATATCTATCTGAATATACATATAGGTAACAAAGCTAATTACGGTACAAGACAGTGACTTACTACTGGTTTCTTTTAAACACAAATTATGGCATGTTTCTTAAATCTTTATTTTTCTTCTTTTTTATTTTTTGTTCAATCAATACAAAATAAAGAATCTCCCATGGTTGTGTAATTACAGAAGTATACTGTATAGGCTTTGCTTTGTCAGCTAACTACATTTACTGAGGTCATGGCTTTTCATCATATTTTGAGAAAACATAAGATTCAATCTTTCTAATAAAAAAAATTAAATGTAATTGAGTTGTAATTGAAAAGTAATTGTCAATTACAGACAATTTTGGCTATGTAATTCATTACTTTCAAAACAATTACTTGAGAAATTGTAATTAATTACGGTCAATTACAATTACATATTTCAATTACCCCATGTCTGGTATATCCAATAAAATTATTCCTAGTTGTAAGATGAAAAACAGAAATATACATCATATAAGTTACAATTTGATTGCACATTTGTGCTCATATTTCCATGTAGCAGTATATAATCTCAATAATAACAGATTTTGAAGTTTAGAATTCTGTCAGAATTAATTTATTAAAAAAAATCAGATTTTTTACTTATTCATGCTGAAAGTTAGTTTATAATTTGACCAGTGTTAGTTGTAACATTTATGGTAAAAATCAAAATCCTCCCACCACCCAATTTATTTAATCCTTGCATCCTGTCCAAACCTGCTTTTCATATCAGTGTGTCTGATCCAGGATTCAAGCATATGTTTATTTTGATCAAGGTGGATAGTAATGTACACATCAAGTTTATTTGGTCAAATAGTTGCTTTTAATGTTGCAGGCTCATATATATATACCTTCCAGCATCTGTTGTTTTGCACCAGTGGTTATAGTTTGGAGAAAAACATGTTGTTTGACTATTATCTCCACAGTACTGAAATACCATTCCTTCATTTCGTCATTTGTGTTAAAGGTTGGTGGCACATGTTTAGTTGGCATTGAATATTTATCTTCCATACCAAAAAACTCCAAGAAACACTCCACAATATACATGTCAGTAACAGAAATGAAAACGTCTTTGTTTGCTTCATAGTGATCATTAACATTGTCACCAATATTTTTTCTGGAAAGTCTATCTTGGAGAGATTTTAATGTTCCAATATCTTGACCACTTTCTTGTCTGTATGTGATGTTCAATGACATTTTGAGGTAAGACATCAAAATATGGAACAGTTCAAATGTTATTGGACTCAAGTGGCTGAATTTGTCAGCAGGGTTAAGATGGTGTGCTCTGAGTGACTTTGCTCCTGAGAATCTCTCTCTTGTAAGCTGGTCACCTCCTATCTGAAATGTTTGATCACCGAGTTGTTTTCCTGCTTTATCATGAGCATCTTTCAAACATTTCTCATAGAAGTCAAGTATCCCTACAACATTTTGATAATATTGCTCATTTTTGAACAGAACAGGTAACGGTATAACTTCTGACTTTTTTTTCAAGTTAGGACTGCATGGTGTACTGATGTTAATTGGAATAATATCTGAAAATCTTTTGAAGTAGGGAATGTGTTCAAGAACAATCCTTGACATTAGGATGATATAGTCAGTTGTTATATGGTTGTAGTCTTCCTCTGATGGTATGAAGTTTTGAACCGGTGTGTGACTATATAGCTGTTGTGGTACAACTCTGTCTAGATTGGTAAAGGTCAGGTTTTGAACTATTACTGCTGAACCAAAGGCATGCATCATTTTCTGTTTGTTGTTTATTCTTTGGTCATGAACACCAACAGTCCAATTGATGTTGTCTCCAATTATCCTGAAACGAATGTTGTTCTTTACCAGCTTCACAACCTTATCATTAAAATGGCCTCCAATCAACTCTACAATTTGTAAGCTTCTTTCATAGCTTAGGCATACTCCCACTGTCTGAAGCCTGTCAAACACCTGCAAGTTAAATGAAGCTTCCTTAATATGATTTATATTTTAAAACTAATAATTCTGTTAAAATCAAATTAAGTGAGTAAACAAATTAGTATTATGTGTATTGAAGTTTAATTGTATTCACAGTTATTCTGTTAGCTAAACTTGAACAGAAAACACATTAAAACCAGAAGTGTAACATATGTCCCAAATAAAACCGCCTTTTTGTTCAGCTAGTAGGCAGTTTTTGCTGTACAGTATAATTATAACACGAGGCTACCAGGTTCCAGTTATACCTCACATGGTACCATACTGCACTGCTCACTGGTTCAAAGTTCCATTTAAGTATTTAATGTTTTGTATTACTATAATTATCCTAATTTAGCCATATAAGATGGCGGTCATCAACTTCTATAAGAAGATCTATATCATTATATACATGATAAATTATCATTTAAGAAAATTAGTAGCAACTAGATATCATTGAGATGGGAGCCATCTCTGTGGGCCTCGCTGTGAATAATGTGTGGTAAAAAATTTGTATCTTTATCATTGGACATGGGGTTGTCAACTGAAACCAAAGTTTTTGACCTTGACCTTTGACGTAGGAAGTTGTACATAAATTATGACACACCCTCTGGTGTTGGTTTATATACATGTCAAGTATAAACTTTGAAATCATAACGGTTCTCAAGATATAGAGCGGACACGATCTTTACCATAGGACATGGGGTTGTCAACTAAAACCAAATTTTTTGACCTTGACCTTTGACCTAGGAAGTTGTACATACATTATGACACACCCTTTGGTGTTGATTAATATACATGTCAAGTATAAACTTTGAAATCATAACGGTTCTCTAAATATAGAGCGGACACAATTTGTTACGGACGGACGGACGGACGGGCGGACAGACGAACAGACTGATCAATATAGGGTGTCCGCCATTCGGCGGGGCCCTAATTAATTGTTTACATATCAGTTTTTACAATTATTTATAGATTTTTAATTTCATTAATGATTTTAGGTTTTTAGTATTTATAAAAATTGGAGTAGAGACTTTGAGGTATTGTAAATTGCTCATTGTTGAAGGCTGTATCCTGACCTAACGTTGTTAATAAAGGTGCCATTTGGTCTCTTGTGGAGAGTTGTCTCATTGGCCATCATACTAAATTTTTATTTCATCAACACCAAGGTATATTCTCCATCTTCTTGTTTAAGAATTTAACGCGTTGAATTCTGCTGAGCACTTTGTTTCTTCCCTGCATTAGCATGCTGTAAACCATTCCTATTCTTGGAATAATAGCTTCTATTTTCTCTTTATTCTCCATGTCCTCTGGTGTTAAGAACATGGTTAATATTAAACTGAAAACTGTTGGAAACTTTACCATGAACTCGCTAATAATTTCATTCCATTTAAAAGATTTCAAATCCTCTGGGTTTTTTTTCATCAATTCACTGACGTAAAATAGTTTCCTATTTCTTAGAAGATTGGACATTAAAATTCATTTCTTCCATAAAACAGCACAAAATGTTCTCTTTAAAACCCTCAGTTGTGAGAAGTTGTTTGATAATTTCTCTTTTGTTTTCTGTTTTAATGACTGATATCAGAATTTCGGTGTCTGCTTCTTTCATAATTGTTTTTGCATTGATATCTAAATTTTTTTTTAAATCCATGATTTTCTCTACCATTCAATTTTTCACAACAGGAGTAGGCTTTGATACAATGTAATCATGATCTATGGGTGCTGAAATTGTTGATCTTTGTTTATCTTCTTTGCATTTAGATTTTACAATTGAAGATTTCTCGTTATTTTTGGAATACATATGATCAACAGATGTTGAACATGAACCTGTTTGATTTGATGTTGCAGAATCAGATGAAGCCAATGAAGATGTTAGGTTTGATATTACAGACTCTGAAGAAGCCATAGATGTCATAGAAGCTGTTTGGGTGGATGTTGCTGATTCAGATGTAGCAGTAGAAGTCAATGAATCTAATGCAAGTTGATGAGAAGATGATGCTGATAATGATGATGCAGACTGTAAAGATAGGATACCTGATACATGTACTTGGTCTGTTTCTGTATCTATTTAAAAAGTGAAATGGAAAAATAAAGAAGAGCATACAAATTTGTGCCAATTAATAAAACTGTTTTCAAAATAGGAAAATGTTGATTCATAAAACCAAATTTTAAAATAAGATTATTACTGTCATACACATTGTGCCTGTCAAACAGAATTTAACTGATATTCTTAGATAAGTTAATTTAAGTCTTGTACGAGACCTCACACCGGTTTTGATACTGGAAAGAAACAGGACAGGTGTTACATGTAAAACAGGATGTGCTCACCCTTCCACAACATCTGATATCACCTTATGTTCATAGGATTTTGTTTACTCCTTTAGAATGTTTGAATGTTGTCTGCTTTGGTTGATTGTTGTTTTTATGAGTTTTCTCAGAGTCAGAGTGACAGCAAACCAGAACTTCCTGCATGAAAATGATATTTGCAAATCTTGAAACTCAAACAGGATCAAGTAAAAATTAAACATTAACACACACACAAAAAAACCACATAACAATCTTTTTTCAACTCCTGTCTAAAATCATTTGAAGATACAATCCTTGATATACTACATGTACCTATCCATATACTTATTAATTACACCATTCCTGTTCAAACTAAAATTACTCATAAATAAAAATAGATCATATTATAAGTATCACTTTTGACCATCTATCCATAAAATTATTAATTTTACCATTTCTGAGCAAAGGGAAATAACTCAAAATAAAAGTAAATAGTATCATAAATATTGCATTTCACTACTGAAAGCTAAAATCGTGAAAAAGAACTTGACGTACATTTCGTCACAGGAAACCACATATCTAATTTTGAAAAGATTTCATCATAGCGTTTCCATGTTAATAAACGAACACTGCTTGGCAGCAAATGGAAAAATTGGTTATTGATAAGGTGATGTACGGTGGACGGGCTGTCCACCGTACATCACCTTATCAATAACCATTTTTTCCTTTGGTTAATAATTGAAGGAATCCACCATTTGTTGTTGTTTTTCCAAAATTGTTATCCCTTGGTCAAGGTACAATGTCAAAAGTTAAACCAGCACAATATCGTGGCTACCATAATTTAATTCTTAATTTTTTAATAATCTTAGTTAGCTATTGTGCATAATAATTCAATTTTAAAGTAATTAATTAATAGTTATACAAAATTACAATTATATGTATTTACAATGGTTCCTGGTCCCCCAGAAACTTTATACTAAAGAATCTGTATTATCTGCAATTTTGCAAGGGTTTCATTGGGCACCACCCAACTCATTGTTGCCAGGTTTAAGTAAACATATATTTTAAATTAATTACCTTCATCTGATAAATGTAAACCAATGAATGAAATGTCATCTTCATCTTCACTTTCACTGAAAACTGTTGCATATTGGGTAGATGGTTTGGGTGTTGACATATTTATTCTTTTTGGTGGATTTATATGTGGTGACGATTCCAGCATTTTTTTGGCATTCATTGTAAAAATCAGTATTCTTTTTGTGAAGAGTGTCAACTTTTTTACTGCATTTTTTACATACTGTCCCACTTTCAACATTAATTCTACCATATTTCTTCAATAAATATTTTAAACAATAATCTTTTTCCCTTTTAACTTTCGGATGGTTTCTACTCTACGGGCCTCCTTTGCAAATTTCCCACACACTATACAAATATCTCTATCACATTCTCTCTGCTTGATAGGTGTACCTTGGCCTACATTCATCCTTTTGGTGTCGGAAGTCAACTGTATAAAGGAAAGATTAAAAGTATGCATCATTAACACAATTTTCCTGTAAACTCTGAAAAGCCTGTATTACATGAAATCGAAAGGGATATGCAATTTACAAAGTAGTTGAGGTGTGTAATTGGGATGTATAAGTATCCATCAACAGCCATATAGCTTTTAATTTGAAGCAATCACCACATACATGTACTGTCTTTATTTATTCCATTACACAAAGAAGCAATATTCTTGTATAGCCCACCATAAGGTATGGGTTTTTCTCATAGTTGAAGGCTGTACGGTTGCATGTAACTGCTTACAACAACTTCATTTGAACTTTGGTGGATAGTTGTCTCATTGGCAATCATACCACATCTCCTATTTTTATAGCAGTGTTGATAGCATACTTGACGATAATGTACCATAATCTACTCCTTAAAATTCATGATTTTCAAATAAACATGATTTTTTTTTAATATCAATAAAAAGAAGCTGGTTTAATATATTTCATTATTCTGTCCCTTTATTTTTTATTGATATTCAAACTGCGGCACAAATTGAACTAACCTTGGTCTTTGTTAAATTTCAAAATCTACATATATAATTCATGTTTGTTTTGTTGTTCAGGTTGGTGCTAAAAGTCTCTTCACATCTATAAATAAAAATATTTAATACAATATTTTATCCTGAAATCAACCAATTTTTATTCAATTAACAGGTGCACATATAAATGTTTGTTTTTTTTATTTACCGGACAAATAAAGTTTTTGGTATCATATTTTTAATTAGAGTTGAGGATGCAGACAAGGAAGAAAAGTAAACCAGTCTAAGATGGACATGATAGCTTAAGAAGACACCACTAAATCTTTGAGATAGTGTGTAAATGTTGCTTATTTCATCTGTATTACTTAATTTAAAATATGGTCCTCAAGCTCATACAAATAAATTTTAACAATTAAAGTATATTGTGTTTTTATCCTGCACCTATTAGAGGTTCCCTTTTTTCAAGTTTTGTAACCGTTGCCAATATAGCTTTTATTTTCAAACAATGACCACATACATGCACTGTCTTTATTTATTCCATTAGACAAAGAAACAATGTTCTTTTATAGCCAACCATAAGGTATGGGTTTTTCTCATAGTTGAAGGCTGTACGGTTGCATGTAACTGCTTACATCAACTTCATTTGAACTTTGGTGGATAGTTGTCTCATTGGCAATCATACCACATCTCCTATTTTTATAGCAGTGTTGATAGCATACTTGACGATAATGTACCATAATCTACTCCTTAAAATTCATGATTTTCAAATAAACATGATTTTTTTTTAATATCAATAAAAAGAAGCTGGTTTAATATATTTCATTATTCTGTCCCTTTATTTTTTATTGATGTTCAAACTGCGGCACAAATTGAACTGACCTTGGTCTTTGTTAAATTTCAAAATCTACATATATAATTCATGTTTGTTTTGTTGTTCAGGTTGGTGCTAAAAGTCTCTTCACATCTATAAATAAAAATATTTAATACAATATTTTATCCTGAAATCAACCAATTTTTATTCAATTAACAGGTTCACATATAAATGTTTGCTTTATTTATTTACTGGACAAATAAAGTTTTTGGTATCATATTTTTAATTAGAGTTGAGGGTGCAGACAAGGAAGAAAAGTAAACCAGTTTAAGATGGACATGATAGCTTAAGAAGACACCACTAAATCTTTGAGATAGTGTGTAAATGTTGCTTATTTCATCTGTATTACTTAATTTAAAATATGGTCCTCAAGCTGATACAAATAAATTTTAACAATTAAAGTATATTGTGTTTTTATCCTGCACCTACTAGAGGTTCCTTGTTTTCAAGTTTTGTAACCGTTGCCAATATAGCTTTTATTTTCAAACAATGACCACATACATGCACTGTCTTTATTTATTCCATTAGACAAAGAAGCAATATTCTTTTATAGCCCACCATAAGGTATGGGTTTTTCTCATAGTTGAAGACTGTACGGTTGCATGTAATTACTTACATCGACTTCATTTGAACTTTGGTGGATAGTTGTCTCATTGGCAATCATACCACATCTCCTATTTTTATAGCAGTGTTAATAGCATACTTGACGATAATGTAGTCCATAATCTACTCCTTAAAATTCATGATTTTCAAATAACCATGATTTTTTTTTTAATATCAATAAAAGGAAGCTGGTTTAATATATTTCATTATTCTGTCCCTTTATTTTTTTATTGATGTTCAAACTGCGGCACAATTTGAACTTACCTTGGTCTTTGTTAAATTTCAAAATCTACATATATAATTCATTTTTGTCTTGTTGTTCAGGTTGGTGCTTAAAGTCTCTTCACATCTATAAATAAAAATATTTAATACAATATTTTATCCTGCATTCAACCAATTTTTATTCAATTAACAGGTGCACATATAAATGTTTGCTTTATTTATTTACTGGACAAATAAAGTTTTGTAACCGTTGCCAATATAGCTTTTATTTTCAAACAATGACCATATACATGCACTGTCTTTATTATTCCATTGGACAAAAAAGCAATTTTCGAAAAGAATTAATTCGGTTTGTTTTTTTATTTGAAATGTATTATATTTTTATGTTGTGATCTTTATAGCCGAACTTAAGGTATGGGTTTTTCTCATCGTTGAAGGCTGTATGGTTGCATGTTATTGCTTAAATCAACTTGAACTTTGGTGGATAGTTGTCTCATTGGCAATCATACCACATCTCCTATTTTTATAGTGTTGTTGATAGCATACTTGATGATAATGTACCATAATCTACTCCTTAAAATTCAGGAATATGATTTTCAAATAACCATGATTTTTTTTAATATCAATAAAAAGAAGCTGGTTTAATATATTTCATTATTCTGTCCCTTTATTTTTTATTGATGTTCAAACTGCGGCACAATTTGAACTTACCTTGGTCTTTGTTAAATTTCAAAATCTACATATATAATTCATTTTTGTCTTGTTGTTCAGGTTGGTGCTAAAAGTCTCTTCACATCTATAAATAAAAATATTTAATAAAAGTTGGTTGATTGCAGGATAAAATATGTTATCCTGATTTAGAGTAATTTCTCGCAATTTGATTGGCTGATTTTCAGTCGAGGCAAATAGGAAATTGCATAATATTATGAAATATCCTAATTAAACACATTATTATGAAATTCAATAATATTAGTTATTCGAATAATTTTGTTGCTATATTATGAGATTTCGTAATTCATAAAATTATGGAAATCCATAATATAAGAAGAAATTTTGATTTTCAATTAATTTTTTCGTTCGTTTTTTGGACCCCTTGACTATTTTTGGGAAATTCTTCGGAGAAAAAAGTTATTTCTGAGTGGCGTCTATATCAGGGCGTTAGGAACAACAGTCAGATTTTCTACGAAACGCCTAAAATTCTCCCGAATCCCCGCTTTATGAATTATTTCGAATATTTGACAATGGGAGGTAATCCATATCGACTAAATGGGCAAATTGCGGTTATTGTTCTTTGATAATTATATTTTTATCTTATGTTGATGATGTGAATTTTTAAAATGTCTTTATTACTTTGCAGTGATTTACTTCTGTTTACATCTGTTTACTTTAATTCCTTTATTCATCTTAAATCATATAGTTAGGCCACACCAATTAAATTCCTCGTTCGACAGACCAGTCCCCATAATATTTTTGTCTAAACAAATTTTTTTTTTTTTTTTTAATATTCCCCCTTTCCAGCATCTGGAAATGTAACTGGGTGTATTTCCCGCGCCTGTTTTTTTGTAAACATTTAAGAAATGACATTTAAGAAATGTGGTGCACACTGAATAATCCGCGTAGCGGGTTATTTAAAAGTGTGCACCACATTTTTTATGTTATTTCGAATGGACAGAAAACATATTAAAGTCATTTCTTAAAATTTAATTCTAAAAAGAAGTAAATCATGATAATAACGTTGATAACGTCTCGGTCGCATGACAAAATTATGTCTATGAGCTGATAGACAAAACACTTTCAGCCAATCAGAAGACGTGTTACATCCAAAATTAAATTATTACTAAATTAATTAGCGATCGTCAGAGCGTTTTAATCGACGTCAAATCGCGATCCTTTAAACTGTCTCGAGCATAAACACATATTTCTTATCAAAGTCACGACGAAGAAACACACAACCAACATACATGTATAACACAAAAAACTAAAAAAGTATACACATTAACGAACACAATAAATCCCTAAAACCTTGGGTGAACTCAGGTGTTCGGGAAGGATAAACAACTCCTGCTTCTTGCAAGACACCCGCCTTGTTTCTAATTATAAGTCAGGTCTTGTGAATGAGGAAAGACATCTATGAAAGTTCAATGAAAATCATTCAAGACAGTTAAAATAATTATTGAATTATTCAGTTCGATATCTGATGTTCTTAGAAAGTAACAGTAATACAAGAAGCCATAAATATGATGCAATTAAAAGTGGGCATTACATGTTGGTGAACAGAAAAAAACACATCAGCAGTTGATATATTAAAGAAATGCCAAAGTTCAAGTTGTAAATCAAATTTCATACCATCTTGATCAATATTGTATGAACCTATGATTTTATTTTTCCAAAAAAAAAATATAATTCGTCGCCTTTACTTTTGAAGCTTCTCTTCAAAAATTTGTAATTTTTTTTTTTTTAATTTTCAAATCGCTCGCTCGCACTAATTTCTGGAGTGGAAAAATCCTTAAAACAAGAAATTAAATTGTTGTGGCCTTAAAGACGTTAAAAATTAAACGTAGTTGTTCAGACTGTTGTCATTTTGAACAATAAAACATTGATAAAATAATAAATACATCTGGTGATAATGGTGTAATTTTTCCAAATAAAATAACGACAATTAACAAATGAATTTAACAGTTAAAAGTATATTTTGTTATCAATTTTGTATATGCAGATATTTACTTTATTTATTGCGTGTATAAGACAAAATAACGATAAAAATGGTTTCAAGTTAAATTATAAATGACATTGCCTTTTCCCTATTTTGTTGGGGTAATACATAACCTTTTGTTAAATGAATCATTGGTTAAACTAGGATTCACACATTTTGATGAGATTCAAACCAGTTTTCAATCAACAAATAAAGTTGTAGTCATTTTTCTTGTACATGGAAGAATCCTATAATAAACTCCAGATTTAGCATTATGTCTTTTTTTTTAAACTGAGCCCTATCCGTGATCAAATGATTTCCTAAATAGTATGCAGTTGTCAAATTAATGGTCATAATGGAACGTTAAGAATTAAGACACATACAAAATGCAGGGTATTCGTAAACGAATAATTATCTTCTGAACGTACACTATCTAAATAAAAATCTAATCAGATTAAGTAGACACACTTCTGTATAATATCATTCCGAGTGATAAGTTTATCCGACCAGCCTACAGTTATAACATCACAGTTGTTTGAATTATTACAAAGAGATGTCTCACTATGCCTGTGATCTTGATTTAAAGGGGAATTAGTTAATATTTTTATCGTTATGAAAGTGTTCATTATACAAAATATAAATATTTAACTTAACAAATGACAAGAAGGGATACTGTGCAACGATTAAACAAATTAACACCGTATAAAATCGATATATTAAATTATTTCATATATAATGTAAAATGTATTCAGAAAAAAGTTAATCTCTTAATGAAATTTATTTCAAAATTGTTACTGATAATCTTACTTTCACAAAGTCTTAATTAAGATTGTTAACCACAGTGTGTTTACGCACACCGGTCTATTCACTTGCATCAAACTTTTAAAAAGTTTTAATGTCCTTATGAATGTTATAAATTTAAACTAATTCTGATTTGGTCTCCAAGATTATTTTTTTACGAAAGCATTATCATGATTAATCATTTAAAACTGATTTTAACAATAATCAAAACACTAGAGGTTTTCTTGATTTGTACGATTTATTCATATCAATTATTTATTACTTATATCCAACCAACAGGCATGATGAAACATCATTGATCCTGTATGTGTTCCAACAATGTTACAAAAGAGTGTGCGTTCAATTAGCATGATAAGTGATAAAACCTTTGAAGGACAAAATTAATGTACCTGTCGGATATTTTTATTATAGAACAAGTTGTCGTTGTGATGCATCGTTCTTTCATCACATTTAAATAAAGAAGTTATTCAAAACATCTTCGTTAAACCTGGTTTTACAGCTAGCTATATATAGCTTAACCCCCCACTTGTATGGCAGTCGCATACAATTCCATTATATTGACAACGATGTGTGAACAAAACAAACAGACACAATAGGTAAAAATGTCAAAAATTGGGGAACAGCGGTCAACATTGTGTAATAATCTTAATCACTATAAAAACAAACCAATATATAATAAAGAAATACAAAAAGGCATATAGACATAGCACATAAGCAAAAATGAAAGACAAGAATACTAAAATTGACCATAACACAATGACGGGATGTATAAGTACAGAGCCACGTCATATGTAACAAAGAAACACAAAAAGACATATAGACAAATAACATTAGCAAAAACATGAAAAAGGAAAGACAAGAATACAAAAATTTACCATAGCACAAAACACAATAACAGAACGTTCCATCTCTTTTGAAATTCGTCTGCGATATCTCTCAAATCATTTGGGTCAGTTGGTTATGAAATCACCTCATCTTTATATTCTTCAACTATTGCTCGGCAAACCTTGGGTAAAAATTTGCTTACAGTATTCCGAGCAACTCTTAAGTCATACTGCTAGGTAGAATACTTTTCACCAGTAGCTTATTGTCTTAATGTGATGGTAAATTTGAAACCAGGCGACAAGGCTCTTCTATATAGAGTATCTGTCTTCTTGATTCTTGGTTTAACTCTTTCAAATATAATGCATCGAACATCTCTGGTGGCATTCTCAGAAAATTAAAGAAGGAAGGTTCATCCTCGAATCGTAACTCGTTCATCAACTGACCATAATGACCACACTGGAGCCTCCTTTCGGAGGATAACTAAGATCAACCCCAACAGGCCTAAAAGTCTAAAGTTTCTTTTTATTCTTCTTATTCGCTTTCTCAATAACAATATCATGGCCAGGTCGTTAGGATTGTGTTTCTGTGTAAATGATTGTAGAAGAATAACTACATTTACATGGTCTTGTATTTTCATGGTTCAAATGAAGTTGATGTTTCAAACAAAACCTGGAGAGTTTTTTTTATATTTTATCTGACAATGACAATGAGCATGACTAGAACTCGAAATGGTCGTGGTATGAACGTATAGTCAGGTCGTAAGAAGAGCGTGATGAGGACGGCATGGGTGTGCTAGAATCGTACTATATGGTCTTGAACAGGGTGATATAAACTTGGTAAAGTCGTAGTAGAAGCGTTGTTCGGTCGTGGGGAGAATGTGATTGTCGTAGTAAGGTCGTAGTAACGTCGCTGTGAGATCGTAGCGCAGTCTCTCCGACTAGAATCGCGCTTTTGCTACGATGGTACAGCAACCTGTACGATCTTACCACGACCTTACTGCGCTCTCACTTCGCTTCTACAACGAGCTGATTTCTCCACGACCGCACCACGATTGGGTTGAACGTGTTCAAAGTTGTTCCACGCTCATCACGATTATGAAAACCTTATCACGACCGTCGACATTTGAATTTATTTTTCAGAGATCGAAGTACGATCTGGTCTAGTGTGACGGGGGTTAATCATATTTTACTATATATATATATATAAGTGATAACAAATATTTGCCACTGGACGTTTGATTAATTTCAATCACTTGTATAGTCAGAATAATGTTTAGGGTAATTATGAACTCCCTACAAGAGACCCAATGACCAAGAAGTTAACAACTATACGTCACCGTTGGCCTTCAATAATGAGCCCACACCGTTTAGTAAGCTACAAAAGGCCCCCAGATGACAAATGTAAAACAATTCTAACGAGAAAGAAAACGGCCAGATTCATGTACAAAACAAGGACCAAAAAATACATATTATTACAACTACAAACGACTACCACTGAAATACATGCTCTGAGTATACTGCATGAGACGGGGTTAAGCTAGTTTTCTGGAGCCAAACCTTCCTCCTAACCTGAAACAGTGATGAAACAATACAGCATATTAACAAACTATAAATGTACCTGAAAAAGGGCTTAAATCATTAGATATGAAATTTAGTTGATAAGGGCTTTGATCGTTAGATCATTACAAAACAGAAAAAAAAACATCTTAACAAAACACAGACCGGACGTGGTAGGGTTCTTATATATACCTACAACAACAAGAAAGTCACTAAGAACAGATATGAGAGGACTCGCAGTTACTGACAGTTTATTCAAAACCAATAACAACTAATAAAAAAACATGTTTCTAAGACTAAAATATCAATCAGTACACATCCAACATCTAATCTATTTAGTGTAAAGGTGTCATTAACAGTCAGAAAAAATCATGAATTCGTGAAATGCTGAGATACAGTGAATGTGCATAATGATATAACAATTATATTTATAGATTGGTTTTATTTTAGCGGTAACAAAATCACCAATATTCAAACAACACAGCTGTCTTTTAATACGCCTATGCCAGACCCAAAGACCTCTAAATTTCTATTGGCACTATTATTCAAATGGTTTCTGTTAGATTGTCACAAACTGACCTTGTTACAAGAATAATAAATGTCGGTGTATCGCAATATTTATTAATATGGTAATACAAGTTTCAAGAAAGAGTTTGTCAATAGAAATGGATGTTTAAACATCAAAATCTAATTTCATTGAATTTTTAAAG